GCTCTGCGAGCCCTCTGGGACCCTGGCGCAGCCGCCCGCCGGCCTTACGTAAGCTCTCCTCCGGCCGGGAGCTGGGCTGAGGTGACCCGCGTCCAGGGGTGGAGGGCGGTGGCCACTCTACACCTTGTCCTGGCGACCCGCTGGAGCCTGGCCTAGTTCTGTGGGACTTGGTTGGTCTTCCGAACCCCCACGCCCTTTGTGGGGCTGGATCTCTGCCTTCCTGGGTCATGATGAGCTGTGTAGGGTGAGCAATGAGTGAAACAGCACGGGATCTGGAGTCCGGATCGTGCTGTGGAAGGTGGTGGGGAGTTTAGGAGCAGATGCTCACCTTCCTCCGTTTAACTGAAGGAGCCTTAGGCAGTCAGTGCGGGCTTTGAGCCACACTTCCTTGGGCCAGTCTTTCTGCAGCCTTTATGAGTCCTGTGACCTTGTACTATTCTCTCCAAGTTTCCCTTGACAGCGGAGTTGCATAGTGTGCCCTTGGCCCTTGAGCAGCAGCCTTGACCAGCAGGTTGCCTTTTCATAATTTAATCTGTAGAGTGGAATAATAGCGGCCATTGTTGGAAAAGAAGAGCCCCTTTGGAGGTTAACATTATTGCCTCCCCTTTACAGCTAGAGAGACTGACGGGTCACATTCTTGAGGGACTTTGGGAGGTCAGGAGATAGCAGAAACCCATCCCGCCCTAAGCCCCTAGCTCCCTCAGACCCAAGTTCTCTGCAGGAAGTGGCTGGCTGTGAGCTTCCTCTGCACAGGCGCCTGTCCCAGGACTCCTGAAATAGGCCCAGTCACACTCCTGAGAGCCCAGGCTCACTTTTCTCAGCCAAGCATTTTACTTAGGGCTAGGGTGACCTTCAATTTATCATCTAAGCCTAGTTTGGAGAGTAGACCTGTGATAACAAGCTAAGGAGGAATGAGATCTGGTTACCTGAGGGTAGTAACCTCCAACCTGGATGGACTGTCACTCTACTATATTCCTAGAGATCCCCCAGAATCTACCTAAACCAGTTTACTTTGCAAAGTGAAGTCGATAAAACGTATGACATTCTAGACAACTTGAAATTCTGTAGAGTTAATCCCTTTTGTTTTTCTACAACAGAAAAGCAGTTGGACAAGTCAGACTCTCCCTGGTAACCCAGGAATGGCTCCTCAGTCCTTACCTCTAAATTCCTGTGAGGAAGAAGTAAGCCCTTTCCCCGTCTGCCTAGTTCATGTGTGAAACTGCTCTGCCATAAGATTTTTCCCCCAAAGCCACTTGGTGTCCCTGAAGTCCAGTCTCCCTTTCATCCTACACTGTAGGTTGTTTTGTGACTGTTGCTGGCAGCGTCTGACCCTAGCCAGGAGCTGTGTTGTACACAGACTGCTCCTCACTAGACTACAGGGTTTCATTCAGCTTCAGAAATTATAGGCAGTGTTTTCCAGACCCTTTTGCTTTGTTTTTATTTGAGTACTGGGGATAGAATTCCTGACCTTTTGCTTGCAAGGCAGACTGCAGAACCACTGAACTAAATCCCCAATCCTTTTGCTTTATTGTTATGTTAGATAGGGCAGCTCCAACAGAACTGATCCTTCTAGGTGCTACCTCCACCTGCATGGAGGTTCTCCTTCACTTCCTGCTATTGTCCATTCATTCCACAAACATTGGGCATCTGCCATCTGCACTCAGCCCCAGTTACATAATAAGTAATACGAGTCTTCTCCCTGTGAGATTTGCCTCCAAGGAGGGCAAGAGATTCACAAACAAGTAGTCCAAAATCTACCCTTTTACACAGTGAGGGCAAAGAAATTATAGCAGGAACAATGTGACTTGCAAATACTCCCATGGCCATTAGTCTTGTGATTCATCCTGACCACTGAAAGGTCAGTGGAGGGGATGCCTGCACCTCCAGGCTGAGGAAGTGGACACCAACTTGATGTTCTCCACTCTTTTTCTGGCCTTGTTATAACTGCAAAGAGACTAGTATGGTTGGATGAGCTGCTACAGGCTGAGCAGCTGCCTGGAGCAGACCCCCTCAAAGTTGCACTGGATGTGCTGTGAGCACAAAGTGATTTTTTTTTTTTTTTTTTTTTTTTTTTT